TCTTATGCTCATGAATTTCGAATTCTTTCAACAACTTTTCCTTTATCATGTATTTTTTTCCCAAATAAGTTAGCATCGCATAAATTTCCTTTCGAATACTGATTCATGAAACTCTTTTCTTCAAATGGGAACAATGGATGCAAATTGTGCAATAACGACTCGAAAACGAACGAATTGAACTTTCTCAAGTGAGAGCTTCGTTCTGAGTGTATGTCCTGACACTCGAAATTTAACGAGTGCCTCAATTTCGATTTCAACGTCGCCGATTTTTTCCTCAGTCTTGCGACCTTTCATCGTCCACACGGTTATTCGACCATTCATTCCCAAAAACGATCCTTAATGCAAAATCCTTTGAATTGAGTCGATTGAATCGTTCAAATTGAATTGATCACAGTTTGCATGATAAATGCATGATTATTTGCAAAAGTCGAGCAAAGCAACTTTATCAAATTAGGTTTGGCGTAACGGAAATTATTTCAAAAAGTTAAATTCTTTCAACGTTTATTTTCTGCAAAACCACAAATTCTTAGCTGAGAGCTGCACAAATTATCGCTGAAAAAAATGATCAAGTGAGTGGTTTTGAAGCGGAAACCTTCTGGACTGGATCGATAGATGAGAATAGGCTGCTGAACACTTCGGAAGTCCATAGCGATGCTCTTATTGGGATGATATTGACGCAAAGTTGGAAGTATATCGCCTAGACAGAACAACGGTCCTGAACCGAGGCCGCACGTTGTTCGTAGCACGGGACCGATTTGTGGTGAGCTCGGATCCACCCGTGTGTTGAATAATCCGATCCTGAAATTGAACGATAGATCAAAAATATGATTGAGGTGAAGAGGTTGAGTGATGAAATTATGAAATTATTATCAAAATATCAACGAAATTATCGGACTTCATCGAAACCGCAAGAAATTTACCCGTAATCATCTAAACTCTTGAATTCCGCAGAAAATTTCAAAATGAAAGAGTTAGACGTGGAACTGATGAAATGCTATGATGCAGTGTTGAAGTTTGTAAAGTAAATGCCTTCAATAATATCATTCTAATGAATAATGTAATCGTAATAAATAAATGATTGCAATGAACGTACTTATGTCCATGATACATCAACGAATTAGTGACATAATCGGACACAACGATCTGCAGCATTGGTGTTGAGTTCTGCATGGATAGTAGTTGCATGGGAGCCGCGCCGAAAGGAGTTGCACCTTTACCATTTTCAGATACTTCCCCGGAACAGTTCAATTCAAGACCAAACTCGTTCACAATGGGATCATCAACTAGACCGTATTCCAGGTGCAAGCTTGCAGCACGACTCTAAACTAACTTGCGTAACCGATTTTGAATATTATTGTGGTTTAAATTTCATTTGCATGGGCTTAATTCAGTGGGTTCGAATCAAAGTTTATTTGAATGAATGAGCATGCATGCTTTGCTGCTTGGCTGACGGAAATTGCGCTCATTGTCAGATGAAGCTGATCGAACAAAGAGATCATACCAAATTAAACGTATCGAGAACGGAAGCCAACACTTCTGGACTACGTCGTGGGCGTCTGAAAACGAGAAAAACATAGATGAAATATTTCAGTTCTTCCCTTATATCGCCTCATTTTCCATCTAATGAAGTGCACTGTCGAATTTTGGCAATATTACGTTATGCGGAATGTTGCCGGTAGGGTTCCATTACCGTTTCAATGACTATTTGATAGTTTCTTGGCATTGCTTGAATTCCGTTAAATTTCGTTTGAAGAACATGGTGAATGAGGTTTTTATAATGGGAAGTGAATGAGTTACATAGAAATTCGAGAAATCTTTTTTCACATCATAATTAATTAAGAGGAGATCAGAGAGTTGGTGTGTGCAATAATCACGCGATAATAAAATTCTCAAAAACTGCGACGCATGCATTTGGTGGGATAGCTGTCTGAGATAGTCAAAATTGATGCTTGTTCATTGAGTCGGTTAGTGATCGCGTTGTGAGTCTAGAACAGTAGTTCTTTTAGGAGTGAAATTACCCGTTTTTTGGTAACTTGGACGTGTCAAGAGGTAATGGAGGGGGTTGGGAAATTAGCGCTTCGTGCAATTGTTGTCTTATGATAGAACGCTATTGTGATGGTGTTTTTTAAAACTGAGATATGTAAATGGTGCTAGCTGACGGCAACACTCTTTATTCTCCTAT